ACCCAAAGATGCTTGGGGCCTTGTGCCAAATAATGTGAGAAGCCATAAGATAAGGAACATCTTCGTGGGACAGCAACTTTACTAGGTGGTAAGTAAAAGTTTTATTGGTAATACAAGCCAAAGTGTTATAAAGTATACATTTTACATATTTTAAACATAAAATCAGATTTTTGAGGCAGGGTATTTTATGGAAACATTCCTGCAGGAGTAAGTCAGAAGAGCTTGAGAAACAAGGTACTCATTTTGAGGGAGCTTTGTTATTTATTGCCTAGCTTTGCTTGCTACAAGATCCTTTCTTAACCTGGGTGGATCGCTTGAGCCCAGGAGTTTGACACCAGCTTGGGCAATATATAGTGAGACCTCATCTGTACAAAAAAATTTTAAAACTTAGCTGGTGGGCATGCCTGTAGTCCCAGCTACTTTGGAGGGTGAGGCTGCCATACACCTGAGCAGAGATTGTGCCACTGCACTCCAGCCTGGGCCACAGAGTTGTGAGACCCTGTCTCAAAAGAGAAAGAAACTTAAATATCCATCAGTACAAATTAACTGTTTTTGATTGGGAGTAGACTGTTATTTCCAGATAGCAGAGGAGACTTAATCCATTTTTTAAATCAGCTTTCTTCTTCTACCCGAACACACCTTGCATTTCATCCATTCTCATAAAAGTCATTGCTGGACCTGGTTCCTGTCAGCTTGATGCACTTCAAGGATTCCAACGATAAGGAATGTGGTGTGACTGGTTTCTGGGTACTTTGGAATGAATGGGAACATTCCATTAACTGGACATTTGATTCTATTAATGTGGAGGGATTCTTTCAGTTATTTTACCAGCTTCATCATAATTAGATTTGTGATCAAGTCACGCCCTCTTTATCATCAGCTCTCTTTGACCCAACTCGTTAGGCATCTGCCCCTTTTCAACTAAATATAAGAATAAATTTCATATTCAGCCTAGTTTTTCTCATGAGATCACATTCTACATATGTATCCTTTCGATGTTTTGAGTCTTATATAAGTAAGAATTCTGACTAAGCCTTTAGAAACATTCGAATACTAGGCCGGGCACGGTGGCTCACACCTGTAATCCCAGCACTTTGGAAGGCCAAGGCAGGCAGATCACGAGGTCAGGAGATTGAGACCATCTTGCCTAACACGGTGAAACACCATCTCTACTAAAAATACAAAAAATTAGCCGGGCGTGGTGGTGGGGAGGTTGAGGCAGGAGAATGGCGTGAACCCAGGAGGCGGAGGTTGCAGTGAGCCAAGATCGCACCACTGCACTCCAGCCTGGGTGACAGTGTGTGAGACTCCGTCTCAAAAAAAAAAAAAAAAAAAACTCGAATACTGAATACTCTGTCCTGTGCCAGGTACTGTGCTATGGCACAGGATACTTGTAAAAATAACAGGAATAAAAAAAATGACAAGTTTTGACAAATGTTAGAAAAAAATGAGGTATACAATGATATACATAGTAGAGGAAATTGGCTACTGAGAAAGGTGATAACCAGGCTAATGTTGAGCCCTTAAAAGTGCCAGCCAAAATTTTCACTGATTGTGGTAAAAAGGCAGGAGTTTACTGGGCAGATTGAATGGAAAAGCTTTCCAGCAGTGGAAGAGTCTGTACAAAGCCTTGTGAGAAGCACCATGGGGCATCTGAGGAAGTGAAAGAGAGCAAGTATAGCTAGATGAAAGATTATAATGGGAAGAAGGATTAACGGGAATGGGAAAGGGCTAAAGAGATAGGGAGGGGCCAGAGCCCACAGTCTAGTAAGTCATGAAAAGGATTTTGGTATTCTATATGGAAAATCATCAAGCAAGAGGGGTAACAGATTAATAAAGATCACTAGTTGGTAAGGCTAAGGACAGGAAATGTCCTTTGGATTTAGTGATGTAGAGGTTGCTGGTCCCATTGAGTGAGTGAAGCACAGAGACGAGATAGTGAATAGGTCCATGAAATGCATAGAATCAAGAAATACTTGGCTGCTGAGGAGGAGCTGGTGATGCCAAGTTTGGGGAGAGAGAAGTATTGGGGATGATTTCTAGGTTTCCAGGTTGTAGTAACTGATGAGTGGAAGTAACATGAGATAGAAAAGAGAATCAGACATTGGGGTGCAAAGTGATGAGCTCAGTTTGGGTTTTGTTGAGACGTCCAAGTGACCGTCAAGTAGGGCAGTTGGAAATAGTGGTCTGGAGTCCAGAGAATAGGACCAGGCTAGAGATTGAGTTCTCTGCTGGTTTTGCTGGTCATTAAAGCAGAGGGTAAGGATGAGACTGCCTGGATCTGGGGTCTGGAGTGAGAACAGCCTAGGACTGTGGTGTGGAGCTGCAGTAATCACTGGGCATTTGTAGTGGAAGATGCACTTGCAGAGGAAACAATGGCTAAGAAGGCTGTGTTCTTAGAAAACCAAAGGAGGCCGGGCGTGGTGGCTCACGCCTGTAATCCCAAAACTTTGGGAGGCTGAGATGGGTGGATCACAAGGTCAGGAGATTGAGACCATCCTGGCTAACACGGTGAAACCCCGTCTCTACTAAAATACAAAAAAAAAAAAATTAACCAGGTGTGGTGGCGGGTGCCTGTGGTCCCAGCTACTCGGGAGGCTGAGGCAGGAGAATGGCGTGAACCCGGGAGGCGGAGCTTGCAGTGAGCCGAGATCGCGCCACTGCACTCCAGCCTGGGCGACAGAGCGAGACTCCGTCTCCAGAAAAAAAAAAAAAGAAAAGAAAAAGAAAATCAAAGGAAAAATATTTCAGTGCTGTGATGCTGCTCAGAAGTAAACTAAGAAAACGAACTGCTCTTTGGGTTCACTGATGGGGAGGCCAGTAGTCACCTTAGTGAGAGCTGTATCAGTGTGATAAGGCAGGAACTAGAGTAGAAAGGACTGAGAAGCAGGGTCAAGACATGAAGACAGGGGATCTGATCAGTTTTTTCAGTTTCTATTTTGCTCCGAAGAGGAGGTGGGCAGCATGGTCCCTAAAGGGTGATAAGTTAGTTACAGGACAGGATCCAGAGCATAGGTGGCTAGATTGGCCATACTCAGTCGCCAGTTATTTAACTGAGCAGCTAGTATATGCCAAACTCTGTAATAGGTGCCAGGGATACAGCAGTAAAAAGGTAGCCACAACCCCTGGCCTTGAAGACTTACATTGTAGTGGCAAGAGATTAGCAATAAGTGCATAAACAAGGATCATTCTATCTGGTGTTAACTGCTATAAAAAAAATGGTATAGAAAGTGACCAGGGGAAAAAGTTCTTGTGTTCAGTGCCAGCATTTTTTTTATAATTGTAAAATACACATAAAATTTGCCATCTTAACCATTTTTAGTGTGCAGCTCAGTAAAGTATGTTCACGTTGTTGTGCAACCAATCTCCAGAACATCATCTTGCAAATCTGAAACTATCCCAATAAATAACACTCCACTTTTCCCCACGCCCCCCCTCCCCGCCCTGCCCCTGGTAACCCCCATTCTGTTTCTGCAAATCGATTATTTTAGACATTTCCTGTAAGTGGAATCATAAGTATGTTTTTGTGAGTGGCTTGTTTCACTGACCTCATAGGGTTGTGAAGTTAAATAATGTAGGTTTGTTCCCGGACCAAACTGGGGGTTGGGCAGCCCAATTAACAAGGTGCAGATGAACCGCGGAAGAAGAGTTTTTATTTCTGCAACCGGTTACAGGGAGAAGGTCTGGAAATTATTGCCAGACCAACTCATAATTACAAAGTTTTTCCAGCATGTATATACCTTCTAAGCTGTATCTCTACGTGTAAGAGTGCATTCATCTAAAGACACAAGTGATTAACAACTTCTAATCCTGAAGACCTTCCTCTGGAGCCTCAGGAAATTTACTTAATCTAAATGGGTCTGGCTGCTGGGATGATTACCCTTATTTTGTCTCCTGCTAAAATCATGGAGGCTTGTGGAATTCCTCCAGACCCCCAATAAACTTGTTTGTGGAGGCCTGGGGAGTTTCTTCAGATCCCCCAATAAAACTTGTTTAATCCTAAACGGGTCCTGTTAAGAATTCCTTCGTTATCTTGTCATGCTTCAAGGCCCAAGAAAGGCCTAGGCAAAACTTCGTGGGCTTTTGTTACATTCCAGCCTTTGTATACGGGCACTGACTCTTTCAGCTTTTAATATTTAACTTAACCAGTCAGTCAGTGCTGAAACAGGTGTGATGGAGGCCTGCGATAGTGAGACCTGGCCTGCCACAGGTGAAACACATCTATCGCCAAGCCAATAGGACTTACCGCTCCTCTCACCCACACTTCTACTTTTCTGGAGAAAAGGAAAGATTGTCAAAGTAGGCCACAAGGGCTTTAAGCCGGCTGGTGGCTGAAAACACCCTTAACCCCCTCACCTCCTTGGTAAGGCTCGCAGGAGCCTAATTGAAACCTTTCGCCTCTAAAATTCTGCCCCGGTCTACTGGCAAAATTTCCACTACCTGGGCTTCACTTTGTGGCTTAAAGTTTGAGCCTTGTTAAAAATCAAACAACATCAAAGGGTGTGGCCCTATTACCAATCCTCCAGGCTTGGTTTGGGAACAGGTTTGGTCGAGGGAGTTGAGCAAGTTGGTGAGCACGGTCCTCCTAGGGAACCTCCATGCGCGGGACCTGACAAAACCTCTGGGCTCAGCAGGCTGGCGAGGGTGCGAGGCGGGCAGGGAATACTAGCGCTGGTCCCGACCCTGCCGAGGAGCCCCGTTCCTCCCCGGACCGCCTTGGCCATTCAGCTCCGCTCCTCTTTGGCCATCCGGCTCCGCCCCTTTCCGGCCAGCCCCGCCCCGTCGTTTCTCTCCCGGCTTTCCTCTGCCTCATGGTTTCTGGCCGCTGGCGTCGGGAGCCGGAAGCATGGGCGCTGAGTGGGAACTGGGGGCCGAGGCTGGCGGGTCGCTGCTGCTGTGCGCCGCGCTGCTGGCGGCGGGCTGCGCTCTGGGCCTGCGCCTGGGCCGCGGGCGGGGGGCGGCCGACCGCGGGGCGCTCATCTGGCTCTGCTACGACGCGCTGGTGCACTTCGCGCTGGTAAGTGCTATCGCCTAGACCCTTCGCTCCCCATTCCAGAGAGTGGGAGTGGGGGGCGGCAAGGCGGGGTGCAGGGGGTCCGGCGGCTTTCTGCAGCAAGCTGACCGCCCCTCCCCCTGGGGCAGGAAGTCTGCGGGGAGCCGAGAGGCGCCTGGAGGCCGCGGCGCCCAGAGTTCTGATTCCCAGGTCTGTGAACAGAACGCCGCTTGCTTTGTGTTGCCGATTCCTCCACCAAACTTAAAAAAATTTCTGTACGTGCTGTGTTAGTTTAGAAGATACCCAAAGGCTAGAACCTCAGTTTCCTCGGCTTTGTAACCTGCACACAAATGTTGAACTGGAAATAATTGAGAGTAGAGTTGAGGTAATTTTTAAATGCCCCAGAGGGTAGGGTGCAAGGAGAGATGCTTGCTCCAGAGGCAGCAAGGCTATTGGCCCAAAACCCGAAGCCTTTGCCGAGACAAACGAAACACCCGCGTCTAATATGTGCCAGGCGCATTACTGAGTTTAAAATTTCAGATCTTTACAGCATCCATAAATGAGTTATTATTGTCTCCCATTTTACAGAGGTGAAGGTAGGCGCTGCAAAGTTAGGTGACTTTCCAGTGCCACACAGCTGGCATGATTCTGAGGCGGTCTAGTCTGGCTCCCAAGTTTGCACTCTGTGTATCAGTCGAGGTTTTAGGAAATATGTGTCCTTAAAAGATTCAACCCATTTTATAAAATAGGAAGGTTGTGTTTAAGGCATTTATATTGAAATGCCCCACCACACGCGCGCGCGCACACACACTTTTAAGTTTTTTAAAAACTATGCCCAAATATCTTTTTGTAAAGTTGACCTTGTTTAACTCTAGACACACCTGTGGCTAAGTGAAACTAAAGTCAGTAGTATTGAGAAAGCAAGCCGAGTTTTGGGTAATCATCGAGTTCTGTAAATGTTTGCGAGTTGGCTTTGTGCCCATGACTGATGTTGCTGGAATTTTTTTTTATTCTGATAAGCAACATGTAGAGATAAGGGACAGTGAATGTTTCTCTCAACTCCTTTATAGAATTGATTTGTTTTTGTCTTTTTATTTTTTTTTACTTTTTTATTTTTTATTTTTTTGTTCTTGAGCCAGAGTCTAACTCTGTCCCCAGCTGGAGTGTGGTGGCACTATCTCGGTGCACTGCCGCCTCCTGGGTTAAAGCGATTCTCCTGCCTCAGCCTCCGGAGTAGCTGGGATTACAGGCGCCTATCACCACGTCCGGCTAATTTCTGTATTTTTAGTAGAGATGAGGTTTCACTATGTTGGCCAGACTGGTCTCGAACCCCTAACGTCGGATGATCTGCCCGCCTTGGCCTCCTAAAGTGCTGGGATTACAGGCGTGAGCCACCGCGACCAGCCGAGAATTGATTTTTAAGCTATCACTTGAACACGAGGTCTCCCACAGAACAGGGGAGATAAAGCAGGTTGCTAGGCCCAGTTAGAAAAAATGTATAACATAATTTGTTATGTATAACAAAATGTATAACATAAAAATGTATAACATAAAAATGTTGCTAGTCCTATTTGGAGAAAAATGTATAACATATTGGCTGGGTATAACTTTATAGCATATCGGAATGTATATGTATAATGTATAACATATTGGACACAGTGGCTCATGCCTGTAATCTCAGCATTTTGGGAGGCTGAGGCGGGTGGATCACGAGGTCAGGAATTCAAGACCAGCCTGGCCAACATGGTGAAACCCCATCTCTACTAAAAATACAAAAATTAGCTGGATGTGGTGACAGGTGCCTGTAATCCCAGATGGTTGGGAGGCTGAGGCAGGATAATTGCTTGAACCTGGGAGGTGGAGGTTGTAGTGAGCCATGATCAAGCCACTGCACTCCAGCCTTGGACTTTTCCAAGACTCCAGCTTGGGAAAAAAAAAGAAAAGTATATAACATATCTTAGACATACAAAAAGCTGTAAAAATACTTAAACTATATGCGTGTGTTCACCCCCTAGTTTAAAACTGTTTATTTTTCAAGCACAGGTTTTTACAGGTAACACAACACACACCTCCTTTTATGCCATTACCTACCCCAGCTGCAAAGTAGTCCACTGTGTGAATACACCATACCTTAGTTCTCCAAGTCTAAGACCCACATTTTTTCACATATTAGAACAATCAACTATATCACATAACTACTGTAGGCCATTTGATTGATATTTTAATGTCTCTGAAATTGGGATGTATCTTATATTTGATGAATGTGATCACTTAACCAGCCCATACTAGTGAACACATTTTTATTGTGTCCACCACAATAAAATGCATCCACCAACGTCTTTGTACACATGTCTCAGAGATCAGTGGGGAGAGCACTTGAATTAAGCAGTTGAGGCTGCAAGAAAATACATGCCCATGTTGTCTTTGCTTGGGAATTTATTGCAAGAACACCCAGAAATGTGGGACAAGCTAAGACTAAGATGTAGAGCTTAGGGGAGAACCAAAATTACAACTCACTTATTCACTAGAAGATGAGTTGCCTCTCCTTACCCCCTGACACTCTGTAGGTTTTTTGGCTGCCATCAAATTGAGAGCTATCCTGTTGGACAGTTTCAAGCCAAGCATTCTCAGGGGCAGTGCATTTTCCAGATGTCCAACCAGAGCACAGTCACCTTGGGCCCCAGCACTGGTCATCAGTTCATCTCGTTATGACTACAGCAGAGAGCAGGCTGTCTTCCCATCAGCCTACCCAGAAGGAGCCATGGCAACATACTGGAAGAAGGAAACGGTGGCAGCCTAGGCACTGGTGCTTCATGGGTAAAATTTTATCTCTTCTGCAATCTAAGTATAGCGTTCAGGCATGTCCAGAAACATGAGGCAGTATATGAATGCCTGTGTATGGAACACATCCTGGGGTCCAGATTGACAGGAGCACAGGGTTTACATAAGGAAGAAGTGAGAGGACCAGCTGGAAAGGTGACAGGTAAGAACTGTATTGTGTAGTGGGAAGCCATTGAAGGATTTCAAGCAGGGAAATCACGTGGCCAAAGCAGATCTTCAGAAAGATAATTTGGTGGTGATGTGTTGAGTCAGAAACTCTAGGGTCCGAGATTTTACCCAACTTAGAAGTTAACGAGGTAGTCCAGTTTGATTCCCCAAGGCCCAAGCCCCACGGGGCAACATAATGAAGGCCAGATGTTACTGCCTGTACATGCAGTGGGATGCATTACAAGAAAGGGACCCCAGAACTACGCGTCCATCTTGTTGGGAGCTGGTGGTGGCCTGCGCGTACTTCTCTCTGGAGAGACCTTATCTTAGGAATGTCAACCTCTGAGGAGGAGGAGAAGGTGACGTCTTGATCTTTACCACCTAGAACCTCTCTGGAGGGAGCTCTCTCCCAGGTTGACTACCCTGGAAAGGCTCATTATAGAAACAGTCTTAAAATTGATGTAAATGTCTTTGCTCAGAGACCCAGACAGTGCAGGATGTGAGATATTCATGGAGAATTGTCTCCCAACATGGTGCAGGTTGGACTGGAAAGGATGGAGTTAAGGGGCAAGAAGATCAACAAAAAGCAACTGCTGTAGTTTGGGGAGTCATTTTTTTTAAAAAAAGAGGCAAGCCAAGGTGGTGTTGGAAGGTAAAATGGGGAGGAAAGCTAACTGTGAGAGACTTTCCAGGGGAGAATGTGGTAAGTCAAAGTGGCCACTTGTAGATTGGGGGTGGACATGATGTTGGGCTTAGGGCCTGAGCAACATGGGTAATGGTGAGCATATTAAGTAAGACAGCAAAATCTGGCTTTAGAACTATGAGTCAGGGGTCCTAGTGTGTGGTTAAGAGAGAATAGTGCCGGGCAGTGGCTCACACCTGTAATCAGCACTTCGGGAGGCTGAGGCAGGATTGCTTGAGGCTAGGAGCTGCGAGACCAGCCTTGCTAACATAGTGAGGCCTCATCTCTGCAGAAAAATTAGCTGAGCGTGGTGCTGCATGCCCGTGATCCCAGCTACTCAGAAGGCTGAAGTGGGAGGATTGCTTGAACCCAGGAGATCGAGGCTGCAGTGAGCTATGATTACGCCACTGCACTCCAGCCTGGGTGACAGAGTGAGACCCCATCTCAAAAAGAAGAGAGAGAGAATGGCCAGAAGGCAATTGAAAATATGAACTGAGTTGGAGAGACAGAGTCAGGGCGGAAGAGAGAGTGCTGGGAATTATTTTCTGAGTTGGGGGAGACAGCAGGAAGCCCCAGGTATGAGTGCTTTTGCTGAGCTGGAGAGGACAGAAGGGTAAAAGAGCTGAGGAATAAGAGCAGGATCTTTTAAAATATCTATCCTAGGAGAGAGTGGGCAAGACCACGAACCAGGAGGGCGCTGGGGTCCTGGGATCCACGGAATGGAATTTCAAGAACACTGATAAATTGCTGTAGCACCATTAAAAACAAAGAAAGGAAATAAAAGGTGAGGCACCTGGCAACCAGAAAGTCAGTGGTGAGAGTGGGATTGATGGGAGGGAGGCTCCAGAAGCCAAACACTTACAGGCCGGGTAGAGGAGAAGCTGGGCAGTAGATGAAAGTCCTGCAGAAGTTTGGTGGTGGGAGGAGGAAGGGCAGGAGGGTAGCTCCAGAGGCACCTCGGGGCAGGCTGGGGGATCTTGGTTCCTTTGAAGATAAAGGTCTGGGCGAGAGGATGGCCGAGGAAGGGTAAAAGTGCAGGCACGGCGGGCAGCTCTCGCTGTCTGATGTGTGCTTGGCCATGGAGGAGTTTTGAGACGAAGTCTCACTCTCTTGCCCAGGCTGGAGTGCAATAGCATGATCTTGGCTCACTGCAACCTCCACCTCCCAGGTTCAGGTGATTCTTCTGCTTCAGCCTCCCGAGTAGTTGGGATTACAGGCACGTGCCACCATGCCCGGCTAATTTTCGTATTTTTAGTAGAGACAGGGTTTCACCATGTTGGTCAGGCTGGTCTTGAACTCCTGACCTCGTGATCTGCCTGCCTGGGCCTCCCAAAGTGCTGAGATTACAGGCGTGAGCCACCATGCCCGGGTGCCTTCAGTTTTCTTTTTTTTTTTTTTTTTTTTTTGAGACGGAGTCTCACGCTGTTGCCCAGGCTGGAGTGCAGTGGCGCGATCTCGGCTCACTGCAAGCTCCGCCTCCCGGGTTCCCGCCATTCTCCTGCCTCAGCCTCCTGAGTAGCTGGGACTACAGGCGCCGCCACCGCGCCCGGCTAATTTTTTGTATTTTTAGTAGAGACGGGGTCGATCTCCTGACCTTGTGATCCGCCCGCCTCGGCCTCCCAAAGTGCTGGGATTACAGGCTTGAGCCACCGCGCCCGGCGGTGCCTTCAGTTTTCTTGAAGGAGGACTGCTTTGCTGTTTTGGTGCTAGGCTTTGGGACGAGATTCTGGGGCGTGGATCTTGGGATCCTCCTTCTATAAGCCTGTTTTTCAATGGGGATGTTTGTCTTTTCCTTAATGATCTATAAGAGGTGGTCATGAGTACAGTTTCACCCACACTTTATTATGCTTTTGGGGAGAAAGGGCAAGAAAGTGTTGTCAACCCCCTTTATTGACTAATCCATTCTTTCCCCACTTATTTGAAATGCCACCTTTATCATATACTGAAGTATTTTATATGCATAGATATGTTTGGGGATTTTTGAATTTAGTTCTGTTTTATGAATCTTTTGGTTCCAGTTCTAGCCACTGTTTTATCAGATATTGAAAATTTCAGCACTATAATGTAGTTCAATATCTGATAAAGCAAATTTCTCCCTACTATTCTTTTTTAAACACTTTAAAACTTATGATATATCCTTCCAAATGTACTTTTAAATTCACTTTGCTGACCGGGTGTGTACAAAAATTAGCCAGGCGTGCGGTAGCCTGCACCTGCAATCCCAGCTATTTGGGAGGCTGAGGTAGGAGAATCGCTTGAGCCTGGGAGGCAGAGGTTGCAGTGAGCCGAGATCGTGCCACTGCACTCTAGCCTGGGGGACAGAGTGAGATCCTGTCTCAAAAATAAAAAATAATTTCACTTTGCCAAGTTCTAATACTTGGTAGTTTGATTGTGGTTTTCTTAGCTTTACAGATTAGTTTGAGATTAAATGATATTTTTATAATACAGTCTGCCTTCTAAGAACTGGGTAGATTGCAATTTGTTTAAATCTTCTGTTATAGTCTCTTAAAGTTTATTTCAAAACATTTTATATTTTCATTGCTACTGTATTTCTCCTTTGTATTTTGTTTTATTTAATTTAATTTAATTTTTTGAGACAGAGTCTCCCTCTGTCGCCCAGGCTGGAGTGCAGTGGCACGATCTCAGCTCATCGTAGTCCCTGCCTCCTGGGTTCAAGCAGTTCTCCTGCCTCAGCCTCCCAAGTAGCTGGGATGATAGGCATGTGCCACCATGCCCAGCTAATTTTAGTGTGTGTTTCTAGTAGAGAAGGGGTTTTGCCATGTTGCCCAGGCTGGTCTCAAACTCCTGGCCTCAAGTGATCCACCCGCCTGGGCCTCCCAGAGTGCTGGAATTACAGGCATGAGCCACTATGCCTGGCCTTTCCTTTGTGTTTAGACTGATTATTGTTACTATAGTGAAAGCTGTTGAGATATACCTGTATTTATATAGTTACCAGCCACTTGTCTAAATTCCCCTTTTCCTCCCTCCAGCTTTATTGTTATAATTTATGTATAATAAAACTCACCCATTCTGTGTACAGTTTGGTGAATTTGAGTGATTGTGTAGAGTTGTGTAACCACCCTTGCAATCACAGTACAGAACGTTTCCATCACGCTTCTAGTAAAAGTTTTCTCATGTCCCTTTGAAGAGGATCCCAGTCCCCATCACCAGCCCCAACAAACACCCATCTGCCTTCTGTCTTTAAAGTTTTGCTGTTCCTGTAATTTTATAAAAATGAAATCATACATACAAAGTCTTTATTTAACATAAGTTGCTGTGTAGTGTTCCAGTCTGTGGATGTATCTCAATTCATTTATCAGTTAATGAACAAATGGGTTGTTCCTAGTTTTTGACTATTACAAATAATGCTGCTAATAGATATCTGCATCCAAGTCTGTGTGGGCATATTTTCCTTTCTCCTAGGCCAAGGCCTTGGAGTGGGATTCTTTCATTTTAGTAGAAACTGCCAACCTGCTTTCCGTGGTGGCCGTACCATTGTGCGTTCCCACTAGCAGTGTGTGAGAGTTCCTGTTGCCTCACCAGCACTTAGCATTTTTGTGGTTTTTACTTTTGTTTTTAGTCATTCTGATAAACATATATGATTGAAACTTACCACTCACCCTCATACATGCCACAGGTTGCATTTTCAAATGCAGTACCAGGCCTGGTGCAGTGGCTCAGGCTTGTTTTTTGTTCTTTGTTTTTGTTTTTGAGATGGAATCTCATTCCGTCACCCAGGCTGGAGCGCAGTGGTGTGATCTCAGCTCACTGCAAGCTCCGCTTCCCAGGTTCATGCCATTCTCCTGCCTCAGCCTCCTGAGTAGCTGGGACTACAGGTGCCTGCCACCATGCCCGGCTAATTTTTTTTTGTATTTTTAGTAGAGACAGGGTTTCACCATGTTGGCCAGGATGGTCTCAATCTCCTGACCTCGTGATCCACCCTCCTTGGCCTCCCAAGGTGCTGGGATTACAAGTGTGAGCTCAGGCTTGTAATCCCAGCACTTTGGGAGGCTGAGGTGGGCGGATCACCTTAGGTCGGGAGTTCAAGACCAGCCTGGCCAACATGATGAAACCCCGTCTCTACTAAAAATACAAAAACTTAGCCAGGTGTGGCAGTGCACACCTGTAATCCCAGCTACTTGGGAGGCTGAGGCATGATAATTGGTTGAACCTGGGAGGTGGAAGTTGCAGTAAGCCGAGATGATACCACTGCACTCCAGCCTGGGTGACAGAGCAAGACTCTAGCTCAATAAATAAATGGATGAATGGATGAATGCGTGCATGCAGCACCAGTTCCTAAACACGGTTCTAGGTGGAGTCTGACCATCATTCAAGGAGCCTGGGGCGGTGGGGGAAGGTGGAAAGAGCACAGGCCTTTGGGTGCAGTAGGTGCACCCTTGAACGCCAGCTTTCCCGATGACCAACTCAGAAACTTGGGCATGCCCCTTTCCCCTGCAAATCCTTTCTGTAATGAGGAGGAAAAGAAGGAAGGAAACTTTCTGTCTTAGTTTTCTTACCTGTGAAGTATGGAAATAATGTTTTCTTCAAAGGACTGTGAGAATTAAATAAAGCCTTATAACTTAGCGCAGTGCTTCTCAAGCTTGACCATGCACACAGATCATCCGGGGATCATCCGAGATTCTGCAGTGGTAACCAGCTCCCAAGTGATTGCCAGGCTGTGATTCGTTGACTGTATTTGAATGGCAAGGATGTAAGGCACCTGGCACTTGCTAGAGTTCAGTAAATGTAATTCTCTCCTCCATCCTCTTAGTGAATCCTCCTTGCCATATTCCATACCCGGTTTAGCTTTTGTCATCCAATCCCTGTGTACTAAAGTGATGATGTATTTGTCCAATTAAGATGAGCCTTGGAAGGTTTCCTTTCACATCTTTAATCTGAGAAGTAACAACCTTCTGGCAGAGAAGGGTATATTCTTGAAAAGAGAGAAAAGTGTTTCAAGTCCTAAATCAAACAGTATACTGCTATGTTGTAGGAACCATAGAACTCGTGTAACTCTTTGATCCTGGTAGTTCTGAAAGAGACCAGCGTGGTCTCCTGTGAATGTTAGGTGACAACTGGCTGCTGAGCAGGTTCCCTCAAGTGGAAATGGTCGTCTCATTAAGCAGGCAGCAGCTGGGCAGCATACATTTATGGAGTCATTAAAGCCTTGTCACCAAAGGACCGTAGGAGGCTGCTGCAGCTGATCCCTCCGGAAACAATGATGTATGCTGTTGCCATGACGTGCAAAAATCCAGTCTGATTAGGCTGAGGTTTTGTGAGTCCGATTTGCAAATGCTAATAAATGTTGACAGGATTTATATACTGATTCTATTCCTGCTCTAGTTCATTCTCCCACTCTTGAAAGTGAATGTTGCCCTGTTTTCTCTAGGTCTTCATTCAAACATACTGACAACAAAAAACAGATACATTCAAATACATACTCAGCCTCAGTATGTGTTCTTTTTATTTCTGTAAGAACTTTTTCAGCTAAATTTTTCCTTAAGGATTAGAATGAGTAAATTGAGCATGCTCTTTAAATTGGATATTTAATTATCAATGGAAGTAGCTGGCATAACTTAATGATCTGTTTGATCTGAGCTTTGGCTTATAGCTGTCTTTAAGTCTATAAAATATGTTGTTAAAACCCTTATATGCCTGGGCCGGGCGTGGTGGCTCACCCCTGTAATCCCTGCATTTTGGGAGGCCGAGGCAGGCAGATCACCTGAGGTCAGGAGTTTGAGACCAGTCTGGCCAACATGGTGAAAACCTGTCTCTACTAAAAAT